AGAAATGGCTGAGGAAATTAGAGAGAGTAAGGGAGGGAGGAGATGACGGAGGGGAGTGGGAGGTAGGGGAGGGGAGGAGTGAATGAGAGGGAGAGGATGAGTGAGGAGATTGTAAACGGAAACGGAAGTCCACAGAGATAGGGAACTTGCGAGCGTGTGTGTGTTTGTAAAGATAGGCAGGGCAGTTAGTAGGTAAGGTTAAATGTAAGATAGGCTAAGGTAGGTTAAGAGAATGTATAAAGTTGTAAAGGGTTGGGAACGTCCCTTCAAAACGCCTTGCAACCCTGAGGGGAGTCAATAAATATATCTATCTATAAGTACTTACTATACATTTGTTTATTGTAAGTACTAATAATTTGAAAGCATAAATAAATTGAGCCACTGCATCTCGTGCACCTCTAATTTTTTTCTTTTCTTTTAGTTGCTTGCCTATTTCCATACAAATTATGAATGATGTTTTACATCATATTTTTTTATTATATAAATTCCAAAACAGTATTATATAATTTTTTTTATTTTATTAGTCATTTCAGTCTTTATATTGCTTTTATATATATTCTATATTACATTTATATATTTTATGTATTTGTCAAATAAAGAATTATAATAAATAATATAATATAAATTATGTCACTTTTGGTCGTGTTCCGAAACTGCCAGTACTAAAAATCTATAGGTCACGTCACATGTATTATAGATTTTCAGCACTGGCAGTCAATTTCGGAACACAGCTCTACGGCCTGTATTACAATATATTGTACAAAATGTTTAAAATAGTCATTGGTAAAAAGGAAAATAAATTATTATTTGACGAGGTATTCAACGTACGTTGAATGTACGGACGTAATGTACGTATTTCATGTTAGTTTTTTAAGATAAAAACGGGTTTTGAATGACAGTCCTTTAAAACGTTGTTTTTTTAAACAGCTGTACATAATATTGCACAAAATTGTACTTTTAAGTACGACATTCCTATAGAATGTTTTCCTTGGCAAAATCAAACAACTTTTTATATTTTAAATTGTGTAAAAAATGTGGAAGAAATATATATATTATTATTTCATTAAATACATATATGTATATATGTGTATGTAATCCGTGGTTATAAATTAAGTTTTATATCTGTTTTTTTTTTGTAATAACATTATTTATATCGATTTTTATTTTATTATAACATATTTCTTTTGTTAATTTCAAAAATTGGCTGTAGTTGTCGTAATAGTTTGAATGATTTCGGAAATATTTTTGCTATAAATATGTTATTATTTTCAGTATTATAATAAATAAAACATGTGCACTTTTTTCCGATTAAACACTAGAAATACCAAAAGCTATTTTCAACCTTTCTATTTTTTAATATCCTGTTTTTTATTGTAAAAGTAAAAAATGTAGATTATAATAAAAAATTATTCGATGTTTAACATAATTAATGTAACATTACTTTTAAAAATTGAAACGGTAGAAAATTATTTTGTATTTCTAGTGTAAAGGTTACCTTAGACAATCTAATAAAATTCACGTCAGAAGAATTATATAATTCTATTTGTTATGTTTTGTATTTTGTAATCTAGAGAACATTTAAAGATGTATAATTAATGTATGTATGTATACATATGTCTGTATCTGTATATATTTTTTTACATGTACCTCTAATTTTTTGAATGTTTTTTTATATATATAATTTTGTCACAAACTGTCGTGAATTATAAATCGTGTAAATTAAAACTAATACTCTTTTAATATCTTTTCTTTTTCTATGTTCTGTCCTGTATATTTTTGTCTATCCTTTTATATTTTTTTTATGTCTATCCTTTATACCAATTCTATCTCTCTCTCTATCTCTCTCTTTCTTTGTTCTATCTGTATTTGTAGGAAATGTAAAGAATTGTTTTCTTTAATATTAAAGAAAACAATTTTTACATTTTCTCTTGACGGAAGAGACCACCACCTTCTTGCGGTTTCTGTTGAGCAACAATATGTACGTTGTCCATGCATTTATTTGAGAACAAATATTACAATAAATATATCATATTGTTGCACAAATAATTTATTCTTTTTTTAAATTTTATATTACATGTATTTGCCATTAGCGAAGTAATTATACTATCAAAACAATATTTCTAAAACAAACAATATATAATTTAGTGTTTTATTTCACTTTTCTTGTGTTAACAATAATTTATTTTCTACATTAATAACATGATTTTTTTAAGAAGAAAGCGTACATATTGGCCAAGAGTGGATTTCTATTATTTACGTTTTTTCTGTTTTTTATTTTTTTTATACAGTTTATTTTCAAAATAAAGATAATATAGTTTCATTAAATATTATTTATGTAATTGATCAATTTTACTAACATTTTTTGTTATTAGTTTCATTACTTTTAAATAAGAGACACACGATAGTGTTTCACGCCTAGTGTGGGAAGGGATATTTTATTGTCATATGCATCAATGTCATAATATATATTTTATTCATAAATCAACATCAGAAGGGATACGCGAGACATAACAGACGAGCCAAGTCAGCCGACGTGCTAACGCATATGAACGCATACGCCGACTTTCGAACCGGCTATGGCTATGGCTATGCTTATGTGTGCGCTCTTCTACCCGCCCGAAGCTGGCCGAGCCGCGCCGAGTCGCCGCCGAGCGCCCAGCGCACACGTACACGGCTCCGTCAGCTGTGTGCGTGTCCCCACCAGGCGCGCAGGCAGCGGGCAAACAGCACCATTGGCACCTCTGAACACAGCCCTTGTCAGTATGTTACCACGGAAATTCCCCATAAGCTGCTCTTACTAGTGAGAATCGTTTGTCCCAAAGTTTAGCCTAATTACGTAATAAATCTCATTAAAATTAGGCTCATTTTAATCAGTAAGATCAGCCGCAAGCTGGTACAGAGCCGGATTTTGCATTTTGGCTCTTAAAAATTTATTATAAATAAAATACGGACTCGCAGCTGACCCAACCTGACCCGTGTCTAGCTGCGCGTTTCCCCACATTTATTATAAATTTTATTTCGATCCTTTTTCCAAAATCCGGCTCTGTACCAGCTTGCGGCTGATCTTACTGATTAAAACGAGCATAAGTAAAATGTGATTCGTCAATTAATTAGGCTAAACTTTGGGAAAAGCGAATCCGTAATTCCCGACCGGCCGACAGAGGTCTCCACTCTTACTCCTGTCGACCCTTAATGTGCCGCACTGGCTAGCGGAACGAGACGGTAGTAGGGATGGGCGATGTTTCTCGATTAATCGAAAAAGCCGATATTTAATCGATTTTTAATCGATAGTTTTGTCCGATTAATTTTTCTTCCGATTAATCGATGTCCGATATTTTTTTCTCAACATCGATTAACTGACTTCACTAACTTCACTCATAGACATAGACCGGATGGAGTTTTCCACTAAACTAAAGACTAACCTGAGTTGGCCATTTGGCGACGTGAGTCACGTGGGTGCACATACAGGACGCAGAAAGTGCGGAAAGTGCGGAAACGCTTACCGCGTGGTAAGAAACTAACCAATCACTCTTTCGTTCTTACAGAAAAGCGATAAATTGATTGGCTACTGCATTGCTTTCTGCAGCGCGGCGTGCGTTTCTGTATACGGGTTGTTCGTGACCGAGTCGATCCCGCGAAGGGGAACGTTCAAACGTCGACGGTTGAAAGCAGTTGAAAGTGTTGAAACGTTCGCCCGGTTCGCACTTTGCCATTATTGAAGTTGAAGAAGAAGAAGAAGCAAGAATAAGATAAGAAGTTTTACGGGTGAACCACGGCTTGTTTTTGGCATCGTTCTGGATCCTGTGTGTACTGTGTAAAAGCTATATCTCAGGCTATTTTTTTAGTATCGTTCTGGATCCTGTATGTACTGTGTAAAAGCTATATCTCAGGCTATTTTGTTACAAGAAATAAGCACAAAAGGATATATAGATGCAACAAGAATATGAAATGGATAATTTACAAAAAGGTATTATAGTAAATATAACTGCAATTTATATTTTGATTGCGTGCATATATTGTAATAACAAAAGAAACCTAATCTACGTAAAATTTTAATTTAATCATAATGTTTAACTGATAATAATATTTTAACATTTATTGAAAAATTATATTTATAGATCCTTATATTTTATAAATCCTACTGATCCTAGAAAGCACACGATATATTTTAGAATAAATAATGAAAGCCTGCCATTTCCAGTGGGAGGACTGACTACATCTGAGTACATATCTTTAAAACGTATGTAAATAAAATTACACACATGCATAATTATTTTTAATTGCAGAAATATTATATTTATTTATTATTCCAGATAATGATGAGAAGGCGTATGTATATGTTCAAAA